TGTATAACAGGCATAAGTAACCATAATCCAAACAGGGTTACAGGTAAATCAAAAAAGGGGGGGTATGAAGGCTAACGCGTTTCGAAGGGTGCTCCCTTCATCAGAGCTGGGTTTGGCAGATAGAAACTTCAGTATGGCATGAGTTCCCATGGCAAGGAGAAATTCAGCCACTGAGTGTCAGTATTACAGCAGTTCAGGCTGGGCATAGAGATAAGTGAAGGAATGACGGCCTCAACTCATCTCTATGCTCTTGGAGGTCCAGAGCGACGTCTCTTCCGCTAATTATTTCTATCACAAGGAATGCATGTATTCCTTGTGAAAGGAATAAAACTGGTAACATTTTTTTATTAAAGGGACAGTGTAAATAAATAAATATATATATAAAAAAAAAAGTGCCCCTGTCCCCACTCGCATGTAGTGGTGAATGCATACGTAGGCCACGCCCACATATGTAAACGGTGTTCAAAACATACATGTGAGGTATCGCCACGAACGTCAGAGCAAGAACAACAATTCTAGCACTAGACCTCCTCTGTAACTTTACACTGGTAACCTGTAGAAATTTTTAAAGCGTCAGCTGTGGAGATTTTTAAATACCATAGTTTGACGCCATTCCACGAGCATGCGCAATTTAAATCATGACATGTTGGGTATCTATTTACTTGCCATAACATCATCTTTCATATTGTACAAAAAATTGGGGTATATATTGTGGGTTTTTAATGATAAAAGTGTATTTTTTCCCCAAAAAATATATATTAATTTTTAAAAATCGTCCGTTTCGGTTTTCAGCCAAATGCATCCGGAATTTTAGTTTTCGGCACCAGAATTTTCATTTCGGTGCACCGCTAGAAAGAATCTAAAACAGAAAACTAATGCAGTCACCACATTGAATGACTGGTAAGCTGCAATGTATTACATTTTTGGTTTTGGGTTTAATACCATTTTAATTAATCAATTACAAAAAAAAAAATAGGAAGAAAAATCTCTGCCTTCAATACCCCCCATCGTCAGACACTTGTATTATCGTTCTTTAGAGAGCTCACAAAGGTTCCTCATTATTGTATGAAATGTAAATTTCTCTGTTCATGGCCACACATCCAGGATGTTCACTCTCAGATGATGGGCCTCGTTGACACAGAAAGGAAATTAAATACATTCATAGGACATTTGTAAATGGAAATTAATATAATGATTTTAAATTGTATAGGGCATGCTGCGTTCATCTGCATTCAGTATAGCTTTGTTTAGGAAAAATAGAAGTCTGCGTTCAGGGGCAGATGCGTTACTCATTTAAATGCACACATTCATAACTACAGGAGAAATTGATTTTGGAAATCCAGCAATTTTTTGTTTCCCATCAATTACGCAAGTGAATGTGGTGTAATGTCGAATTATTGCAGGATCAAGGTATAATTATTTTTAATTTTCCCTCTTTTTATTTTTTAAGGTAAAAGAAATTATTCAGGAGAACTCACAATAAAATGGCCTCTGTGAGTAATTTTAATTAATTCTGATATTGTTGATTTAATAATGGTACTCGTTTTGTTGATTTTAAGAGAAAATGTGGTATAAATGGTATTTATAAGAAAATGTCATGATGTATTTTTTGTTCCACTGTTATGTGTTGGCAGCACATTTGAAAGGTTTTCTTCAGCTTACATAAGAGCACAGTGTGTACAGCAAGATTATGCAAAGCATTTTCAGAGCGTTTGGCAAGCTTTGTTAAAGCCTATAAAGTCAAGGTTCAATGTATGCATGTAATACCTTCCCTTGTTCCTTCCTCTGATCAACCTGCAGATTTACTTTGCCTTTGTCTCAGCACGCTGTCAGATCTTTTAAAGAGGAGCTCCAGGCCCCCCCCCCCCTTTCAAAATTAAGTCAACAGCTACAAATCCTGTAGCTGCTGACTTTAATATAAGAACACTTTCCTCTCCAGGGATCCAGTGTGTCCTCACCCGAGCCGATTCTTCAGTCAGCTTCAGGTACAGGGGCCAGCATCTTAAGTAAGGGAAAGCGGCAGTGAAGCCTTGTGGCTTCACAGCCGGTTTCCCACTGTGCCATGTGCACTATGCTTTTGTGAATGGCACTACTGTTTTCTTAGACTGTGAAGTGTCCCAGAAGGTTGCTGGGGTAAGGAGAGGGGTCCGAACTTCTAGATCAGAGCGTGTACCTGTTAAAACCAAATACCATTCTGATCCAGTTTGGAGGGGATAAACGAAGATCTTAATTGAAACAAGTGACAAGCAGACTTCAGCTCTACCTGAAGCTTATTGAAATCCTGTTTGAAGCCTGCTGGCAACTTGTTTGAAGTTAGTCAGCCCTTCCATTAAAAGAGAAGTTCCAAATTTAAAAAAAACAACAAACATACATACATATTCACCCAGCTGGATGCAGCATCTGTCCCCCGCTGGCTCTAAAACTGAGAACTGAACGATTAAAGACCGCTGATCGCACAGTTCTCGGTCTTCAATGAGCAGTGACTCGTCAGTCACTGGCTCTCTGCTCTGCCCCTCCAGAGCTGGAGCACTGGGCTGTGGAGGGGTCCCTGCTGACTCAGACTCTCAGCAGTGCACTGAGCGGCTGAGCCAGCTGCTGGTCAAGAATCTGGGTGGATCTCGACTTTAAAGTTGGGATCCCTCCAGAGTCTGGATCAGCTGAGTGAAGTTGGCTCACTGTCGACTTTAGCCTGGTGTGGGCTGAGTACAGGTCACAGGAACTAAGTGCACTCCTGTGCCCCACAGAAGTAGGGCCAAAAGAGCTTTGGCCCTACTTCTCATTTAAGACCTGTGTTATAAGTATAACTAAAGGCATTTTTTTTTTTGTTTTTGGATAGAGTGGAGAGGGATTAGAATATCTGTTTTTACCCTTATCGACTGTAAAAGCAAATCAAAAATTTAGGGTTGTCCCCAGATTTGTAATAAAAAGGAAGTCTTCCAATGGGGATACTAGTTAAGACGACAACCAGGGGTTCATCCACTCTGCAGGGATTTCATCTCGCTTCCTGTATAGACTATGGGACAGTAAGTGAAGGGAAATTTCAATGGTACACAGATGGCAAGAAAAACCTGACAGGGGTTATAACCCATCCATCTTTTCCATTCAAAATGGAAAAGAAAAGTTTTGCTTTTTGTTCTAATTTAAACTCCCCCAAACTGAGGCAAGAGTTCTTTAATGGCTTTAACAAAACTGATCTTAGCTTGCAGAAAGCTTTGCAAAAGCACACTGTACACACTGCATTTATAGAAGCTGAAGCCTGTGTAAACATGGCCTAATTTAATGGGCTTCCTTAAAGCCCAACTCCATGAAAATGAAAACAATCCACTTGTTTTGCTCATCTAGTCTTGGGGCAGAGGATTAATGAGAAAATACTAACCTTACTCCTCACGCCAGGAAGCTCCCTTCAGCACGTCAGTCAGTCCCCCTGCAGCTTTTGTGTAATCTGCGACTGACTCCAGTTGCAGTCTTATTCCTTTGTGATGGTGACAGAATAGGTTGATGTGAAAGGTCCCTAAAGAAAATGTCACATTTGAACTTATGTTGAAGTAGGAATCTGTAAAAAAAGAAAAAAAAAAAAAAAAAAATCTGTGCAGGCTTTCTTATGAAAGCCTTATATTTTCTTTTTTTTTTCTGACCTTACAACCGCCTTACTTTATGCATTATCACTCAGGAGGTACATATGTCTGGTTAAGCAGTTCACAGGCTAGGTGACCTCTCAGCACTGGACACAAGTTGAAGAATTAGAAAGGGGTAATTAATGAAAGCTTATTAAAGAAGAATTGCAGGAATCCTATAAAAAATTCATACATCCTCGTCTTCCTACTGCAGCATAAGTCTGATCCTGCAGATGTCCCCCGCTGGCTCTAACCCAGAGAATTGAGTGATTACATGACTGCTTATTGCTCAGTTTTTGAGTCTGCTCTGAACACAGAGCGCTGACTCTGCCCTGCCCCTCCATTACTCACTGCAGCGCTGCGCTGGAGATGGGGTGAGAGCGGCTGGCTCGGGCTCTCAGCGGTGCACTGAGAGGCTGAGCCAGCTGCTGGTCAGGAGTCTGAGTGCATCCCAATATTATTGTTGGGTTCTATCCAGAGTGTGGAGCAGCACTGTGACATCAGCCAACATCGAACTTTAGCCCACTGTCTGCTGGTTCTGAGTCACAGTAGAGCAGAATTAAGCGCACTCCTGTGACCTTCATGAGAAGTGTGGCCAAATGAGGTTTGGCCATACTACTGTTTTAAAGGGCCAAATAGCAGTAGTCTTATAAAGAGAAATTCTAAGTATGGATATTTTTGCACAGTCACTATGGTCCACTTTGCATCAATGTAACTATGCATGTACCATACTTGTGAGATCCCTCTGGAAACAGGAAATCACTGTAGTAAATACCTCTTCTCCAGTGATCTCCACTTGCTTCTGGGTCCTGTGCCAAGCAGCTGCCCTGCTGTATTGTGAACACAGGAGGCGGTCTGCTCGACCTGGGCACCAGTCGGAGATCGCTTTGTAGTTTCTCAGCAGATGCAAAGCATTCTCTGATTGAACAAGGTTGAGAGGAGGGGCAGTGATGATCAGGTAAGCTGTCAAGTCCTGTATGGGCCCCATGCTGATGGTGTGTATGGGGTCTGGCGATCTAGTGTGACTGGCAGAACATGAGTTCTTCCACCCACAACTGCTCATCATTAGATTCCTGGCTTTCTGCTGCTTGGGCTACTGTAGCAATAGTTCCACCAGTGGTAATAGCCACCATGTGGAACCATCTCTTAGACAAGATTTGCACAATTTTGGCAGGTTCACTTTAAGCTGATCACTTCCAAATGTACAGTTTATCTATTAAAAATAGATTGCTATTTTTACTAGCACTTTTTAACACTAGGTTTATTTGGTGTATAAAATATACAATATTTATGTATTTGTGTTATATATATATATATATATATATATATATATATATATATATATATATATATGAAATCTGAAAATAATGCCTTGTTGTTTTTCAGGCACTCTGCAGCAGAGCCAGGCTGGTCACCTTCCTCCCCGGGTTCTGTTCCCTCATGAGGAGGGTGAGGGGAACCCGTACTTTTTTCTACTGCAGGATCCTCAGGCTCTGATGAACCTTATGTAGCTGCTACACCACCTGACTTGCGTAAGGGGGTTGCATTAAGCTCCTATAACAAGTGGTTGGGGAATGTGAGGTGTCTACTTTCAAGTCTCAATAGGGGAATGAGATATATACTTGTATTACACTAGCCTATGACTTAAACTATTCTCTAGACTGCCTTTATGATGGCTCCAAAGATTTGTATTTATCATAATCATTTTTATTATGATTATTATTGTTGTACAGGATTTATTTAGTGCCAACAGTTTGCGCAGCTCTTTACAAAATAAAGGGAGACAATACAGTTTGATACAAGAGGATTAGGAAGGTCCTGCTTGTGAGAGCTTACAATCTAAGGGGGGAGAGAGTGGTAAAAAAAAAAAAAGGTAATAACTATGAGGGATGGGCTGGTGTTAATGGTAAAAATGCAGTTTGTAGGTGAAGGCTGGATAGGCTTTACTGACAAAATGAGGTTTTGGAGATCGCCTAAAGCTGAACAGATTGGAGTAAGGCGTTCCAGAATATGAAAGACGCTCTGGAGAAGTCATAAAGGCAAACATGGGAGGAGGTGACAAGGAAGCTAGAGAGTCTTGGTAGGGGCAAAGTGGACAGTCTGATATTTTGAGATGAGGCTGGTGGTGTAGATTGAGGTAGAGTTGTGGGTAGCTTTGTATATTGTTGTTGGTATTTTAAATTTTATCCTTTCGACGAGTCAAAGCCAGTGGAGGAATTGATTGAGGGGACTGTAGCTGCTGATCAGTTAGAAAGGTGGATAAACCTGGCATCCATTATGGACTGAAGGGGAGGTAGCCTGTGTAAAGGTAGGACAACAAAAAGAGGATTGCATTAGTTGAGTAGAGAGATAACCAGGAAGGGGATTAGTAGCTTTGTGGTGCCGTCAGTTAAGAAGGGGTTCATTTTGGAAATAATATGGAGATTAAGGCAGCAGGACTTAAATAACAGTTCGATGTGGGGCCTGAGGGAGAGGTCACAGTCTAGGATTACACCTAGCAACTTGGCATGAATGGAGAAAATGATAGTTGTCAGGGGTGGGAAATGGTGGGGGGAGGAAATATTATGAGCTTAGTTTTTGAAAGATTAAGTTTCAGGAAGTGGTGTGACATCCATATTGATGTCAGCCAGTAAATTAGTGATGTGTGAGGAGGTTTAAGGGGTGAGCTGAGAAGCAAAGAGATTGATTTGGGTGTCATCAGTGTAGAGATGGTACTGGAAATCAAGGGAGAAAATCAACTGCCCCAGGGAAGATGTGCAGAGAGAATAAGAGGGATCAAAGCTTTGGGGGACCCTACGGAAAGAGGGAGAGGAGAAGATGAGGTAGAGTTGTAGGTGACACACAAGGTGCACTTAGATAGGTAAGAGAACCAGGAAAGAGCAGAGTCACAGAGGCCAAGGTTGTGGAGTTTTATAAGGAGGAGCAGGTGGTCAACTTAAGGTTCAGTTGTTAGTGACTTTAGAAGGGTAGTTGTTATGGAACCAAGTCAGACTGTAAAAGGTCAAGAAGGTGAGGTTGGGTAGCAGCTCAGACAGACGAGACATTTAAGAAGTTTGGAGGCAAATGGGAGCATGGAGATTGATACTGCTTTGTAAAAACTGGCGGGGTTTAGTGAGAGCTCTTTTAAGTATAGAATTGACCAGTGCATGTTTGAGACGGGTAGGAAAAATGTTGGGAGAGATTTGAATATGAGATCGAAAGCAAAGAATAGAGCAGATAGGTGATGGAGTAGTTGTGTGAGAACCAGGTCTAGGGGGCAGGTGGCTAGGTTTGCCTCAGAGAAGTTTAGTGACCTCTTCAGTGGTAACTGGATCAAAACCCAGACATGGTATGTTGGTTGGTGGAGAGATATAAATATCAAGGAATATCTTATGGAGATCTCATCAGGAATTGCATTAATCTTGTCTCCTTTTTTTTTTTTTTTTTTTCTTCTTGATAGGTAATCTCCTGGGTAGTGAGTGAGTTAGTGGGTGAAGTAACTGGTTAAGAACAGAAAAGAGTTGATGAGGACTGGATCAGAGACTGACAGAGTAGGTTTGTTTAGCAGCATGGAGGCAAATTCATATAAAGCCATGGAGGAATTTAGTTTAGTGCCACAGTTGCTGAAGAACATGGCTGTGTCCTGAGACCTCTGATGCTGTCTCTTTGCCAGAGTTGTACTGGTTGAGGCCTGGTTTTCCTTTTTAATGAGGAGAGCAAGTTATCCTGGGAGCATGAAAGTGAGCTTTTGTAGACAGAAGTGGGCAGGGAGAAGATTTTTTTTATTGAGGCAGAATAGAGAAGAGTTAAAGTGGGAACGTTTTCTGTGGATAATTGCTGGTTGGAGGAATAGAGAGTTGGAGACAGGTAGAGTGTGAAGCTGATAATGTTGTCATCAGAGAGAGGAAAATAAGTGTTGGAGAGGTGGCAGAGTGCAGAGGTGGGAGAATACAAGGTTGAGGGTGTTGTCCTCAGGGTGAGTAGCAGCCTGTGTCCATTGCATTGGGTTAAGAGAAGAAGTTATGTTTAGTAGTTGAAATATAGCTGGGCTGTTAACTATAACCAGAATCTTATTCACTGAGGAAGATAGTGGATTTTTCAGAGGAAGCAAAGCTGAGAGCGAATTCATCAAGGAAGTATGAAATTGGTCCAGGAGACTAATAAATCACTACAAACCTCAGGGAAACTGGTGAAAAAAAGACAAATACAGTGACTCAAAAGAGGAGAGGAAAGTGTAGTAAAAACTTGAAAGGTGCTTTTTTGAAAAAGTCCCACCCCACTTCCTTTTTGTCCATTAGGTCTGGGTGAGTAAAACCAGTGGAGGGCAGCTGGAGAGTCCAATTCCTGAAGTCAGATTTTCAGCATCAGCAAGTAGATTGAAGGAACTGGAAATTAAAAAAAAAAAAAAAGTAATGAACAGGCATAGAAGCGTTTACTGCCAGTTGGGTTTTGTTCTGTAAGATGGGTGAAATATTTTAATTCCAACATTATCTTATGTAAAAATGTTCTTCTTTTAATATTTCCTGTATGAATATATATCACATAGGCATTAAAGCATTATGTTTTCACATGGAAAAAAACTTTACACATTGAAAGCCTTTTTTCCAATAAAGTGTTATTTCAATAGTTTTTTTCATCAATTCAATCAGCGTCATTTTCTGTACCCTTCATTAGAAACCATTGCAATACAGCTTGCAGTATTTTAAAGTGAAGGTACATGGAAAAGCAATGTTTCACTTTATTCTTGCCTTCTCTTTTTACTCGCCATCTGCTTTTTTGGCCTTCAAAACTGATGTGGCATAACAGATGCTGTTGGAAATGTGGGAATAATTGGCTGACACCCAGTTCTGTCAGGTGCAGATAGGGAGAGCATCCTCAGCAGTTTGAATAAAAATTATAAATATCTGTGCTTGTGAGCTACTTTGGTGTATTAAATAAAATTATATATTTACTAGTGCTGTGGTTCACTGACACATTTACACATACCCATAAGAATGTGCGATATCTAATATATAATAATACATTTGTGTCGCGCTCCACTGTGAATAAATTCAATTATTATTTTGAAAAAAATCATCATTTAAATACAAGTGAAATTTAATAAACCTTATTGTATTTTTAAAGTGCAATGTGTGCTCTTATAAAATATATTCTTATAAATAATCAATTTAAGATACTCAAAAAATATTTTTATATAGTGAAAAAATATCTGGATGAAAAATATAATAAAAAATATCAAAAAAAATGTCCACTTCGTGATTGTAATCAGAAAATGAATGAATCTTTCTTAATTATGCGCTCACCTTAATTTTAGCCAAACCGTAAAGTTAGGCTAAAATAGCTTAGTGTCCTTATGTGGACAAGATAGTACTTTTCATGCTTTGACCATATTCCAAAACGATGGGTAGTTGGATGTAATATTTCACTTTTCCCACTGGGGGTCTCCTGGATTGCTGATCCCTGTTTGTGTTATGGATTGATTTTCTCCCTCTGTCGTCTAGGGGTCTTTGCACTTCCTCCACCTCTCCTCTTTATTACTCCATATTGTGGGTTATCATGCAAAAGAATCAATATATAGTGCCTTATCCTTTTTAAAAATTATTTATTAGTGCTCCATGTACAGTGGGGCAAAAAAGTATTTAGTCAGCCACCAATTGTGCAAGTTCTCCCACTTAAAAAGATGAGAGAGGCCTGTAATTGGCATCATAGGTAGACCTCAACTATGAGAGACAAAATGAGAAAACAAAATCCAGGCAATCACATTGGCTGATTTGGAAAGAATTTATTTGCAAATTATGGTGGAAAATAAGTATTTGGTCAATATCAAAAGTTAATCTCCATACTTTGTTATATATCCTTTGTTGGCAATGACAGAAGTCAAATGTTTCCTGTAAGTCTTCACAAGGTTGGCACACACTGTTGCTGGTATGTTGGCCCATTCCTCCATGCAGATCTCCTCTAGAGCAGTGATGTTTTGGGGCTGTCGCTGGGCAATACGGACTTTCAACTCCCTCCAAAGGTTTTCTATGGGGTTGAGATCTGGAGACTGGCTAGGCCACTCCAGGACCTTGAAATGCTTCTTACGAAGCCACTCCTTCATTGCCGGGGGGCGGTATGTTTGGGATCATTGTCATGTTGGAAGACCCAGCCACGTTTCATCTTCAATGCCCTTGCTGATGGAAGGAGGTTTGCACTCAAAATCTCACGATACATGGCCCCATTCATTCAGTTCTGCACATGGATCAGGCATCTCTTTGCAGAGAAACAGCCCCAAAGCATGATGTTGCCACCCCCATGCTTCACAGTAGGTATGGTGTTCTTTGGATGCAACTCAGCATTCTCTCTCCTCCAAACACGATGAGTTGTGTTTCTACCAAACAGTTCTATTTTGGTTTCATCTGACCATATGACATTCTCCCAATCCTCTTCTGGATCATCCAAATGCTCTCTAGCAAACTTAAGATGGGCCCGGACATGTACTGGCTTAAGCAGGGGGACACGTCTGGCACTGCAGGATCTAAGACCCTGGCGGCGTAGTGTGTTACTGATGGTA